AATGGAAAGACACCCCATGTTTATGGATTGGAAGACTTAATATTGTTAAAATGTCCATATTACCCAAATTAATCTGCAAATTCAGTGTAAAATGTATCAAAATGTCAATGGTATTTTTTACAGAAATATAAAAAATCCTGAAATAAAAAATCTGAAATGAGGAACCATAAAGGACCTTGAAGGTGGATGCTGTATACTTCCTGACTTCAAAACATATTACAAAGCTACAATAATTAAAACAGTATGATACTGGCATAAAGACAGACATATAGACCAATGAAACAGAATGAAGAGCCCAGAAATAAGCCCATGTTTATATTGTCAAATAATCTTCAACAGGGTGCCAAGACTACACAATGGGGAAAGGATAGTCTGTTCAAGAACTGGTGCTGGAAAGACTGGATATTCACATGGAAAAGAACAAAATTGGACCTTTATCTTATACCATACACAAAAATCAACTCAAAATGGAATAAAGACTTAAACATAAGACTTGAAACTATAAAACTAGAAGAAAACATAGGGGAAAAGCTTTATAACAATGGCAGTGATTTCCTGGCTATGACACCAAAAGCATAGTCAACAAAAACAAAATAAACAGGTGGGAATACATCAAACTGAAAAGCTTTTGTGCAGCTTTTGTGCAGCAAAGGAAACAATCACCAGAGAGAACCTATGGAATGAGAAAAGATATTTGCAAACTATATATCTCATAAAGAGTTGATATCTAAAATATATAAAGAACTCCTACAACTCAGTAACAACAACAACAACAACAAAATGATTAAGAAATGGGAAAAGGACTTGAATAGAGATTTCTTTAAAGAAAACATACAAACAACCAATAGTTATATGTATAAAAACATGCTCAACATCACTAATCATCAGGGAAATTCAGATCAAAACCACAATGAAACATCACCTCATACTTGTTAGGATGATCATGATTAAAAAAAATCTCAGAAAATAATGAGTGTTGGCAGGGATATGGAGAAACTGGAACCCTTGTACACTATTGGTGGGAATGTAAATTGGTACAACCACTATGGAAAAGAGTATCCTCAAAAAATTAAAAATAGAACTATAATATCCACCAATCTCACTTATGGGTATTTATTTTAAAAATGAAATCAAGATCTTGAAAATATATTTGCACTCCCATGTTCATTGCAGCATTATTCACAACAGCCAGGAGGTGGAAACAACCTAGATGTCCATTAACAGTTGAATGGATAAAGAATGTGCAGTATATATATTTGTGCAGTAGAATGTAGCATTTTCTCAGAGGATCCAGGTTCCTCAAGGGAATTTTCCAGAGGATCACCAATATATTCACTAAGAAATAACATTTTAATAAGTAGTTACTATTTAGCTCTGGCCCACAGATGCCCATTATATCATCATGTAGCTGAACTATTGACCCAACAGTTCTAAGCACCACTTGTCATAGTGTTCCTATAGGAAATTATTTTTTGTCTTATAATTTGAAACTCTAACCTCCATCAGCACACAATGGTGAGGTAGATGACAATTTATAGCAAGATGATTAAAATGCTGTAATGTAAATATATTTTATGAAATTAAGAGCCATAATCAAGGTAAAGGAAGAAGGATCACATTATTGTTTTTTGTTTTTCTGTATCTCTTGATTTTCCTATAATTGACATGTTATTTTTATAAGGAAAAGTTACTTGTAATTTCAAAAGAAATTAAATCAAATTAACAAAGTTTACATATTTTTCTTTAAAAGGCAGTAAAATATGACCTAGGAAGCTTTTTTAGGGAGAAAATGGAAAATCAAAGGGAAGCGTACCAATTAGATCTCAACATTATGGGTTTGCAATTCAGCCACCATCATCTCTTCAATCAAGAACAAGTATTATGTGCTAGGCTACTCCAACTTTATGAATATTTTCAGGACAGGCAGCAACAGAATTTGCCTCAGCTGCTTTATGAGAAGGTGAGAATGGCTTTCGTTATATTTATAATGCTGAACACTTTTTAAATTTTTAAAATTTTAACTTTAACTTTATTAATCATAACAGCCTACCATTGAATAGAGCTCAACATGTAATATTGAAAGAGAAAAAATTCTTAGTACAGAGCAAGTTATCAGAATATTTTCCCTTCGCACTCTAAATATTTAACTAATTAGAACAACAGTTTGATAAAATTGTGGGAGTTGATTGGCTGGGGATATAGCCTCAAACATATCTTGCAGGATATTTACCGCATATAAATGGTTTGATAATCAGTATTTTTGGTGTTATGACTCAAGAAGAGTATTTGAAATGATTGCTATTTAAAAGATTCATGTACCTGTTTTAAATCTTATAATAAAGTATTTTGTTAAAAATGTTAGAAATCTTGAATCTCATATCAAATTTGAAGAGTCTTGGTCGGAGAAGAGTTAATCCAGATAGCCATCTAATGACATTATTAGGGGTATAGAAAGTCTGAAGAGAAATCAAAGGATTACCAACTGATTATTTTTACAGACTTGTACCTCTCATTTAAACTCTCTCTAGGTTTCTGATATATGATCATTTTGTTAACTACTATTCTTTCGGGAATGGTATTTTGATAGGTCTCAACTATTGGATACATTTGAAATTAAATACCTAGTAAGGTATTAATTACTTACTAGATATTTAATTAAACATTCAATCTTGGTGGAGTCACCAACACCTCTTGATAAGCTGGACACGAACTATACCTTTTTTTTTTATTATTTCAGGGTATTATGAGGGTACAAATATTTTGGTTACATTTTATGTCTTTGCCTCACTCAAGTGAGAGTTAGAGGCATGCCCTTCCCCTCTACAATGCTCCCGGTGTCCTTTAGTTGTGAGTTTACTCCCCCATCACCCTAATCCCTAAGAACTGTACCTTAATAAATATCAGCTTTTTAAAATACAAGTCCAAAATCTTCAAGACTTAATCTATTTGATTGAATTTTCATGTAGCAATTGTGGGGGCAAATGTAACAGATGAACACCATACGTTAATAACATCAGAATATTTCTAAACCAAATACTGAATATTTTAACTTTTAGTACAATATGGCCATTTTTTTAATGAATAAAGGAACCAGTTCTGAGATTCAGATGCAGGTCATTGAAAAAGTGATTTGATTTACAGATTTCTACTTTATGGAATTTTTTTCCAACAATATTATATAATCTTTAAAGTCTTATCCAGCATTATCAATTTTATTTTATTAGATTACTATTATATTAGTGTATATGTAGACTTTAGGTTTATTTTTCATGTAGCATGCATGGCTCTCTGCATAAAATAAAAATGTTTTGGGATTGTTATTTGCAACATGTTTCAGTATTATTATTGATTCTTAGCAGCCAAAGTTGATTTTTACTTTTTTTCAATTTATTCTCTTATGCGAATATAAATATTTTCTCCAGTTGTAAAAAGAGAAATGTGTTAGGCTGTGTGCATGTCCTTCTCTTCTGAAGGAGGAGAAGAGCAGTGGGGAAGAGGAGAAACGGCCAGGTATGGCAGAGCATGTCCTCTGGCCTCCTACTAAAGACTGATTTGTTTAAACATGAATAATGTATGTATCTGTTTAGTCCTTTGGTGTGAAATGTACGGCGCTGCTTGTTCCCAGTGTTTTCAAACCAGAGTAGTGGAAGACTCATTGGCATCCAAGGAATTCTTAAACTGGAATATGCTCCCTTATATGAGTATGAACCCCACTTAAAGAACAAGGAGGAAGGTTACAGATAGTATGAGCGAGTAGAAAGAATGCACAGCTATGTACACTTCTGCTATTTCTCCCTCTAGATTTATTTTTTTAAATCATACAAGTAATACAGGAATACATTCTCATTAGAAAGAATTCATTACAGAAATGCCAAAGGGTGAAAGGCCTACTTAAATCCTCACCTCATGGTTTGCAGTACAACTTTAAAGTTCTCTTTCCCCTCTATTTCTATATATACGTATGCCATAATTGTTTTTAACATAAACTGGATCTTACCGTATGTATTATTTGGCAACTTGGTGTTTTAACATGAATACTGTATCTTGGAACTTTTTCCGTATCACTATATATAGGACCATAACATAGTTTTATTTTAATATATTTAATCACTCCCCATTCATGACATTTAGGTTATTTCCATTTTTTTATGATTACAAATAATGAAACAACATCCTTAAACCCATATATTTGAGTACACATGTGAATACTTCTATAGGCTAAATCTCTAAAAGTCAAGTTACTTGGTCAAGGGTACATACAGTTTAAATTTTATTAGAAAGTGATAAAATGCCTTTCCAAAAAACATTATTCTAATTTGAATTTCCACTGGCAGGACAAGACAGAAACCACTTCCCAGATTCCTTACTTGTGATATTTGCCCATTTTTCTCTTGCTTTGCTGATCTTTAACTAATTAATCTATAAGCATTATAAAATATATATTAATATATTCTGGATGTAAGTCCATAAAAGATGTGTGTCTTTTAAATGTGTTTTATATATTTTGTCACCTTTGGTTACTTTCTTTTTAACTTCATTTATTATATATTTTGGCAAACATTTTTAAATTTTTATGAGGTCAAATCCATCAGTCTTTTCCCTTGTGGATTTTAGGTTTTGTTGTTTCTTTGCTTCCCAAGTTTCCTAAGACCTTTTCCACCTCATGTGTATCAATTAGTATACTTTTGGTTGCAGTTCACAGAAAACTGCACCTCAATTACTTTAAACAATAAGGAAAAGGTATTACTTCATATTGCCCAAGTGCCTCCTTATTATTGTTCTTTTCTAGAATGTTTTTAAATACCATTATAGATTTGATCTTCCATATGAACCTGAGAATTAGCTCATCACCTTCTATTTTAAAAAAATCATACTACCATTTTTATTGTGATAGCTTTTATAATTATATTAATTTTGAAAGAAATTTGACCTTTGTAAAAATCAGGT